TGCCAGCTGCTTTCTCTGATCTAGACTGTTACTCTGATACTATTTCTTCCCAGAACTCATTTCTGCAAGGCTGTTATTCCTTCCATAGCTGGAAAACTGCTGTAACTGAGTGGAAGAGGAAAGATTCCTGTTAACCAGACTATCATTCAGCATTAGGAAAGTTGCAGTTAATTGTAACCCTTTGTAGCACCAGATCACCAATATTAGAATATAATGAGTCTCAAGGACCTCAACTCGAGAGTTTCTGGCAATACTTCTATGTAGGCCATTGTTTCAAGGACATTAATTCTGAAAACAATCCTCTTTTTGCATGCACAAAGCTGCATTCTTATCTGTGGGATGTTTATATGCAAAAAAAAGCTGTGGATCTGTCAGCCTGTCATGAAGGCTTCTTGAAAAATATCTAGGCAGCGAGTTGATTAGGTTCTTAATTAATTTGAACATGTAATGTTGTCAAACTGAAATTTGACATAATTAAAAGCAATTTTAGAAGTGACCGTGCATGTTTTGGAAAGCCATAATCATAATATTGGTGCAAACAGCCCCGCTGCAATTCAGGCCATAATGATGCTAATTTGACCTGTTCTAGGAGAAATGAGTACCTGGGGAAGTACAAGCAGCATACCCAAATCCACATATTTCAGAGAGTGGGGAGGAACTCAGATCCTAATGAAAATTGATTTTTTGGATGATCTTTGTTTTAGTGGTTTCACATCTGTCAAATTGCATTCAGGGGAATGCTTTTGGACTTTTCCTGGTGGGAGTAAGTGTTTTGAAATTTTATGCAGGTAGTGCTGGCATGTCTTGATTTATATTGTTCCTTCAAATGGAAATCCATTAAGAATAACTTAGAAAATCCATATTTTGAATAGATTTTTAAAAAGGTCTTCTGTCACTGAAAAGCAGCATCATGCAGAGATACTGAGCTAGAGTTATACTGAGTTGTCTACATACCAGAAGAAATTCAGATGTGATTAAATGGTTCTGTCTTGCTTGTTTGAGTTAGCCTAGGCATTTTTGAATAGCAGCTGTGCTTTATTTGTCTGTACAAGTGTGTGTACATAAAATGGTTCACAAACAGTATAAACCTCCCTCTAACAAATTAAATTTGAAGATGTCATTATGTTATTAATTAAATAATGATGACTTTCCAACTTTTGTAAACAAATTTTGTCAAAGAAGTATCCACTGTAGACAAAAATAGAAAAGGGAAGGAAGAGCAGGGTCCCATCCACAGAGAGCATAAAGTAGGAGCAAGGGCACAGGGAGAACAGGTTTCTGTTACATGTCAGTCGTGCAAAACAGAAAGGATGCCAGTGTTAGAAACACCTATGAAATATGCATCAAGAAAAACATGCACAGGACATGCTGCACTGCCAGACAGCAGCGTACAGGGCACACAGTGCATGGAATCAGAGAACACCTCCAAGGACAAAAGGTTCAAGATCATCTAGTTCCAAACCCTTGCCATGGGCAGGGAGCCTTCCAGTAGACCAGGTTGCTCAAAGTCTGTCCAAGCTGGCCTTGACCACTTTCAAGGATGCAGCATTCACAATTTCTTTGGGCAGCCTGTCCCAGTGCTTCCGAACCCTCAGTTCATTTGAACCCATTTGAGTATCAGAGTATATTACATTTTTTTCTGTCAATTTCTTTTTCATTTAAGTAGAAACTGAAGCAGAAAACAAATTCACAAATTTGGTGATACCACCTCTTCTAACAGCTCCTGAAATCTCATTTTCATTTCCTTTTCCATAGCTCCTATTAAACAAGCTAAACCCACAATAACTTTTCAACTGCACTCCAAATGCATTTAAGAGATTATTTTTCTTTGGTGTGGCCAGTCCTGAAATAATGCAGATACCTCTTGTGGATTTTTTTTAACACATACTGAAAAGGAGGGGAATTTTGCCATCTCTTCCTGCTCTCACCCTGCCAAATGCTACACAGGCTGAAATTTGCACAGAAGTTTGGTTTAGTCTTTAGAAATCTTGATCATTCTTTATTATAATTAAAATAATTACTGCAATTATTCTTCATAACTAACCTATAATGGAAAATAGATCTATGGCAGGCTGAACTAAAGTAATCTGGATTCCCTGGATTTATGTGCACTGCTTTTGAAACAGTCTCTTTTCCATGTAGCCCGGGGCAAGAGTCTATATTTATCTCCAACTTGTTGTTTTTATTTTTCACTTTGCAGTGGAGATATTCTTGAAGTATGTTTTACAACCCATAGGTTTCCCTCTCCAAAATAAATACATTGGATCACTGTTATTCTGGTAACTCTCCTATTTGGAATCTGGACCTGGCTCCTTAGGCTTGTACTTTGTGAAATAAAGTAATTCCAGTCACAGAGGGCCAGAGGGCAAGAGAGCAGGATATGTCTGGTTCATGAATTTCCAATTTGATGAAGCTATGCTACCAGCATTTTTTAAACTGATGATTACACCATTAAAAAAAAAATAAATGTTTCCAGCCTCTGGTAGATAAGAAGTATGAAAGAAATCCAAGCAAAGTTTTCTCCTTGCCAGTCAAACTGGGCTCAATCCTGCAAATTCTTTTGCAGTAGTTAAGCTTTATGTACAGCAAAGCAGACCCCAGCAAGCCTTGTGTATGTCTGATGAGTGCACAGTTGCAGGGAAGGAGAGAGGCAGGATGAAAGGAAATCCTAAATAGCTTCAGTCCCCTTCACTGTGTAATTTACCAACTGGGTTGGAGGGAGCTTTTCATGTGTCATACGGTCTAATTTGCAACAGGATTAAGTTTTTCAGCACCTTCAAGGAGTCCTGTTTGTTCTACGTGTGTGGATTGGCACAAGGTAACATTCTTTAAGGAACTCCTGGCATCTGGTGATCTTACCTGAAAAAATAAGTTGTGTACAGTTGGAGAGCTCCCATCTAGTTATGATATAGTTCCCTTTCTGATACACAGAAGAGCCAGCTGTCCTTTTGAACAGGGAACATCCTGCCTTTTGTAAAAGAAAATTCAGAAGCTGGTACAGAATGGACTCAAGCATCATCTTGGATGGCTGAGCAGAACTGTGGGAATATCTGGTATTTCATAGCATGTCCAGATAAAGATTTGAATCCAGATTTTTAAACCACTTCCTAGAAGCAAAGAAATGTGCAAAACTAATGTCAAGTCTTGGAACAATTGTTAATGCATTAGAAAATTGTGTTAGTGTTAGAAGATTGTTACTCTTGCAAATTTTGTAGTTTGGGGCAGTGACCTTGAAGGCTTGAGTGAGGTTTTATTCATTAAAGTGGAAATACAGGTAAGTATTGTGAAATACTTAAAATAATTAATGCTCATATAAAATGGGAAGTAGTGTAAAGAACCAGGAAAATGATTTTATCTTTGTTTATAGTGTAGACACTGGAGTACTGTGTACTGTTCTGAAACTCTTTTGTAGAAAGTGAAAACACAAGTGTCTCAAAATGGTTATAATAGTCACAAATTTAAAGAGTAATGGTTATAATAAAGTCATAAATTTAAAGAGTGCAACCTTTTTATGTATACAAAATAAGCTTTTTATGCATAAAATATCATCCTTGATACTTTCACCCCAAGAAATCTCACTGAGAAAAACATAACAAGAACAATGGCCAGAAAATTTGAGCTACTAGAAAAATCTCACATAGGTTTAATAGTGATAATGATACCCAAAATTACCAAGGGAAGTAGGGGGCTCTCTGTCTTTCGACTGAAATTGTCTGAAGTGATTCCAGAGCTGAGCACAAGTTGTTAAACTCCATATATGAATTGCTGGATACCATTCCCCAGGTGACATTATGCAGGAAATTAGGCTGGTGGTGTAAGAATTTTCCTAATCTATGAATCTACAAGATTTTATCAGCCTCACTCTGCTATACCTCCTTGCAGATTTCAATATCATTATTAATATTTATCAAAGTGACAGGCATAAATTACAAAATATTTTCTACTCTTTAGCATTATGTATTGTCTACTGTAAGAGAGAAGGCAAAGTAATCACTGCATTTCATGTTCTGAGCAAGTTTTCTACTTGTGAATGTTGATGAATCATAGTTTGTTAGGGTGACCCCTGTAAGTCTGCTTGAAAATATTAATGAGATTTCTGTGGTTGCAATTGACCCGTTAGTGATAGGATAAAAATAAGCTTCATGGCTGTCAGATTTATAGTTGCATGTGAAAATATATCTGGGGAGAAGGGAGGGCACCAGAAAATGAGATCAAGCAGTTACTATAAACTGAGAACAAAAATATATCCTCACCAATTTATTTCTAACTCTGATATCTCACATAAACCTTTAATAAGCTTCACTGATAAGGGAACAAATGAATTTGGCATTTGGGTTTATTATAAAGAAGTTACAGCTTAATTTTAAGACATCTATAATAAATGTTTTTAAGAAAACATTGAAAGAAATAAACATTAAATCATATTACAGAAAGGAATTTCAAGAAGAAAGAATAATTGAATTGCTGATAATTAATGTGTTGTATTTACTAGGACAAATCTAACAGGTTACATTTGGGGTTACCAGCATGTGGGTGGAGTTCTAGAAAAATGTTTTCTAAAGCAGATGACATAATAGCTATGATGCAAAGTGAGCTCTCATTCTGTTCTCAGAAAAAAAAAAAAAATGTCCAAAGCAGCTTTGACTGCACAGAGAATTACGCTAGTGAAAAAATAATCCACTCTTAGATTTTCTCTGGTTGCTGATTTATGAATCTGTATAATGCAATATTGCTTTGAAACAAAAAACTAAAATTCATGCAACTCTCTTCACAGACTGGTAACCTCAAATGCGTCTTATTAAATGCACTGGTTTAATAATTTACTTAACTTTAATCATTACTGTACTTTGTTGTTTGGAATATAATTTGAATTTACATTTTATCGAATTTGCCTTTATAATTAATGATTTGATACATAGGTCTTCCCTGAAAATCACATGACAAAATATATTTTATTCTTTATTAATCAATGTCTACTGTTTTTCATTCAACATGAGCAGAAGCAGTTTATCCAGTGAAAAGTTTTGTCCTTCTGGATCTGCACCAGTGTAATTCTCAGTTCAATCAGAATTTCTCTGGTGCTGGTTTTGTGTTGGCTGAAGGAGATGCACTTCACACAGTAAGTATTATTCCATTATACATATCAGGGAATTTCAATGGTTTTTGAGTTGTTTGCCTTCTATAATTTTCCAAGGGAAATACAGATCCTGGGATAGCGAATTTAAATTATAATGCCAGTAGTCTTGTGTTTTATAGTCCCACGTGAAGGACCTTTCAGAAGTAGTCAGCGAATCCCCAGGGGTCTGTGGGACACAGCTGGAAATCACCACACCAAAGGAAATATTTGCCAGCCTCCACTGTGAGAGATAGAGATCTGTGTGTGTGTGTCCTGCAGGGCACTAAACAGCCTCAGCTTCAGCTCCCTCCTCCCCACTGCTGCTGTCACACTGGAAGACCAGGATTCCCACCACAAAGCATAACTAAAGTACTTAAAATTAAAAATACACAGAAGAGAGAAAAATCTGATTTTGGACAGTGTTGTATTCCCAGTCTGACCACAGCTCACCATTTTAGAGCTCATTTCCAAAGCAGTGTGCTTTCTCTCCAGTGCAGGCATTGACTCATGCTAAGGAATGTATTCCATTACAGCTTTGCTGGCTTGCACTGTAGCTTCATGTAGAACCAGTTAGTTGCTGTGGTGACAGAAGCCAACAAACAGAAAAAAATTATGAATTTTTTCAGGACTGGTCAGAGCAGCTTAATGACAGCATCCATGCTTGAAAGTGTAAAACTTTCTTGTTTTGCATTTTTTTAAAAGGAGATTTAAGGTGTAATATCATCCTAAGGCCATTTATGTTTCCTCCTATAATATTAAATTTTTTAAGCCATAGAGACTGTAATCTACAGCCATTCTTTCAAGAAAATCTGGAGTTTAACTCCTTAATAACAAACTGATCCACAGCTAAACTGGTGAATTCCCACTCTCTTTTGCAGAGGTATGTGAAGACAGAATCTGAGCTGTTTGGTGTGGATAATATTCATCTAGTCCTGAAATCTGCACAATACTTTTATAACCTTAAATTTACTATAACATTTAATGGGGGTGTTTGAAAAATAATGTAGGATAAATATAACATTGCGATATGTCAGAGAGGTACAAACTCACCAAAAACTCACAGTAAAATGAAAGTCATATCTATTATTGCTCTAATATTTGATTTTATTAACAGATTTTCAAGAAAATAATAGTATGGGATGCTGTCTATGAAAAGTGGAGATTTATTATTTTAAAGAGGCAAAAATATATTACAAGTCCATTGTTCAGCTTTGACCTTGGTAACGTTTAGATCTGCAAATACCGTCCAGTGACAATGAGATGGGTATAAAGTTACTGCAAGGATGCTGAGTTGTTACGTGCTCTGTGCCAAAGGAAATGGAGCTTGGGGCAAAAGGTGATTTAAGGCTCTTATAGGAAAGGGGGAGTTTGTGTATCAGGAGGAGATTATTGTGTTCTCTTCACTCAAATTTCCTTGTTCAGTTTGAGGAATGAGGAACCAAGGGAAAGATCTCGCTGCAGGTGAACTTGGCCTTTTTGTTCAATCCACTCACCAACTACAGGGACTGCTAAAATCTGGTTTTGTCCATTGCACTGTGACAGAACAAAGTTTCTCTTCTTCTCTTAATGCATTTTGGTTTAGAGTAGTGTTAAAGCCCTTCATGAAAAACTCTTTCTGGCTGTGGCACTCCCAGATAAGTGTCAGGAGAACTCAAGCAGGTTTCCAGCCAAACTACAGAACCACAATACAAGCCCAGCCAAAAAGGATCTTGAAAGATCATCTGGCCCAATCTTCCATGAGAGAGGGAGCCCAAATGACATTATCTAGCACCTGTCCAATTGCATGTTAAAACCCTCCATTTATGGGTATTTAATCCTGTCCCTGGGGAGGCTGTTCCAGTGATTGATAGTTCTCACCATAAAAAGTTGGTTTTTTCTTAATTGAAGATGGAACCTCTGCTGGAACAACTTGTGTGTCCCATCTCTTTCCCCCACCCCCATCTTTTCCATGTATCTCCTTGTGAAGTGAGAGGCACTGTCCTGTTTCCAACTGGAAAATGTTCAGCCTCAAATGGTGCAATTCCCTTGTTTCATCAACCCAGCACTGAAGCATTCAGAGAGGCTCTTTTGCTCCTGCCTGCTTGCAGAAGCAGCTGTGGAGGGGCTCTAGGTGACCCCACCAGAGCAGCCAGCAATGTGTGGTCACATCTGAATGTCCTGCCATGTCATTGCCAGCCCCGCAGAGATGGCAGAGGGCTCTTCCTGTGCCACTCTGCTCCATCTGCAAGGGGGACACCTGGGATTAGCAGGCCACTGAGCTCAGACAGAGGTGGGACAGAGTACAAAACCAGCAATTTGGGGTACCTTCATGCAGGTACTCACTGGGAGTCAGGGGGTGCCTGGGCTCAGTCTCCTCAGAGGAGAGTTGCATGCTGTTGCAGCATGTGGGCACTTTTATGGTTGTGCATAGATCTGGCACTGTACATCCATGTTGTTATTCTCATTCATTGCCATTGCCATTTTTAGTGTCAGATCCATCTGCCATGAAAAACTGTGCATGTAAAAATTAATGTGGGAAAAACAGACTTGCTGTGGTATGAGTTGGGGAATTTGGATCAGATTGATATGTGTGCCTGCAAGGACCTATATTTGTATGCATGTGTGTGTCTGTGTGTTTCATTAATAGATGCTGTATTATTGCTATAGTTAGGTAATTCTCAGCCCATTACTTTTATTGCTAAATTTGTTAATTTGCCACATGTCCTCAAGGGACTATATTGACATTGGCAGGATAAGCCGAAGGGCTGTTGTGATGTCTAGACAAAAGGAATTAAAGACAGCAGAAATACTTACTCAATACTTTCCCTCTGTGGGAAGTTTCCGTCTCACTCTTAGAAGCCTTTAAATATAACTTTATTAACAGTTTAATATAATAACAGATGTGTGCTGTAATGGAATAAGTGTAAGCATTTTACATGTATTTACAGTTGGCTGGGCAGACTCTCCCTGACTAACATCAAAGCCAATTTTAATATTGTGGAATTGAAATTAAACTAGGAGTGTTAAGTCTCTAGGAATTTTCACTGCAAATGAAAAACAATCTCATCAGTTAGACTGGTACTATGAAAATCCTACACTATTTTGAAAGGAAGAGAAAGTAAATCCACTCTTTGAACAGCAGAAAAAGAACAAAGAAAAAACTTGGATTATCTCTGTGTGGGCGACATAATCCAGGGAAGATCCAGGGATACATAAATTCTAGGTCAGAGAACAACCATTACAGTAAAAGTCTTGTCTGGGTTCCTACCAAACCACCAGACAAAACATCCTGCTGTATCACTCCCATCAAAACTACTGCAACAAGAGAATTAATGGGAGGAGCTGACAGCTCTTTTCAGACTTGTGTCTTGATTTCTTTTTCTCCCACATCTTTAAAGTTATTTACCTCAAGGTATCTTCTGTGAAGAGGATCTGAGATTTGTGGAGGAAGTCTGGCTAAGTCAGAAGATATTCATGGGAAAACATCAAGAGAAAAGAAGAATAGAAGATTAAAGGGCGTTCAAAGAGAAGAGAAAGGATATATTAGTGAAGTCCAGAAGACAATGAGGTGAAAACATTATATATATGGATATATATCAGTAGACAAAGTGGTTTTGAAAAGTTTCCACACTTATGAAGATTGAGCTGAGTGAAACTCATCTGAGTCACCAACAAATAACTTTGTCAAGATATTCAGTGTTGGCTCATACTGACTACTCTGTTCTCTCTGGGACTGTGAAGGAAGTGTTTTGATAGAATAGCCTAATTAAAATTAAAGAGAAATCAGAAGGAAACCCTCACACATTTTCAACAAGATCTGTTCTCTGCTATTGCCATCCTATCTCTTCTTTCTGGAGTGAAGATACCTACTTCACCCCTCTCCTTTCACTGTCAATCCCAGTTCAGGATATCTCACTTTCCATTTTGGGAAGCTTCACTCTCTGCTGTGTCACAGCCTGGCTCTGTCTCTACATTTGACAGGGGTTTTGGCAACATCTTCTTGTTTCCACTCCATACCTCCCTCTAGTACCACATGGGCAGATGGCCTTGCCTGTTGCTCTAACTGCTACACTTTCCTTCATGATTGATTGCATATCTTAAAATGTGAGGACAGTGATGGAAAAATAAATGTTGCTTGGCTTTGGAAGTCTGCTCATCTTTGTCTTTTCCAGCAGAGAAAATAATGTAGTCCAAACCAGAAAGAGGAAGAATTTAGAAGACTAAATAACAAAGTTTTATTGCCAGGATCTTTTTCATACAGAATACATAAATTAAAAAAATATATATTATATTATAGATATAGATAATTAGATATAGCTATAGCTATAGATTAGATAGAGATATAGAGATAGAGATATAGAGAGAGATAGAGATAGAGATAGAGATAGAGATAGAGATAGAGATAGAGATAGAGATATTATATATATATATATAACTAATTAAAATAAACATAGAAGAAAGAATGAAACAGAAGAGGAGACCTTGGGGAAAGATCTCTCAGTTACATATGCTGTATTGTTGTACTGGAAGCCAGGAATATTTTTCCCAAAAACATAAAACTCCATCATGACCCAGATTATGAAAAGGCTTTTCCCTGGCCTCACTAGAAAGGAGAGTCTATGGCAGTTTGGAGGCTGTTTGACAGCCTGGAGCATGGGGCTCAAAATGATCTATTTTTTTTGGACTTGATTTTGAAGTCAGAGAATACACTGTCAGTCAGCAAACCGCAGAACACATGTAACCCAAAACAAAGCTGCTAACCAATTTGCAACTGCAACTAAATACAGGATTGTTCACAATGCCTGTGCATACTGGGGTAAAATGTATCCAAAGGCTATCACAGACACTGAATCCTCTGAGGTCTTTTATCTCATTCCTTACTTTTCTAACAAGACAGAAGCTGTTCCCAATGCTTATATGAAACCTAGCATACATGTGGGTAGATGTATATATAGGTACACATTACACATGGCCATTCTTAGCTATGTTGTTTTGTTGGTTTTTTTTTTCCCTATATAGGT